ATGTTCCCGACAAATATTTCAATATTATGGGTTTTCGAGAACAGTAACGGTACTGTTCATACAGAACTGAGCTATGGGTTTGTGGACCCTAGATTGATGAAGTTGAACTTATGTAATAATTAAACTAAGTCAGAATCTAAGTGATTAAGGGCTTGTGGCTTTGTGAGAAGCCTAAAGACATGAAACGTAAAAGAGAAGCTTGTCTTTATGTTTATGCTTATGTGCTATGGTTGTTGATATGATTGCTGGCCCAAAACAGATTGTGATTCTGCTGCGTTTGGACTTTGAGCTTGATTGGACTCTTGGCTTGGATTGTTAGCTTGCAAGGTAAGCTTTCGTGTCCTCGGTTTAGCCATTGTATATTCCACATGTCCCATGGGGGGATGGTTATATGCATGATGTGTTTTCATGTACTGTTTTATTGAAATGCTATGGAGCTGTTAAGTGCAAAATGCTTATAATATGTATGTGGTGTTTCGCCTAGCCAGGAAGCCATGAGGTGGTCCTGGGGGCGGGTACAGCATGGGCTGGTACTGTGTGGGTAATAGACGTATTCCTGCACTTCTCTGATCAGTAGAATAGTTATAACACACATGACATGATTATCTGTTGCATTGCACTATTTTGGAACTTATACTGTGTAACTGCTTTTGGAACTTATATTGCACATGTAAGTGAGCTTGGGGTGGAAGATCCTTGCGGACCCCTTGTTTTACTGAGATTTCTTGTTTAGAGATCTCACCCCACGTTTGGGGACGCTTATTTCATGTTCAGGTAACTTGGGGGCAGATGCCTCTAGCGGCAGGAGGCCGGAGCTTAGTTGACTATTTTATGCTGTATGCTGACATGACTAGATATTGGATGCTGTTTATGTTTTCTATCATGCTTATGTTATTTGATTTGAGACTCTTGTTGGGCGTGTTGCCTTATTTGGCGAGCATGAGGTTTGTCCATGCCGCTTTGATCTTAGTACCTTTTAGCTTGAGTTGTATAAACTATCAGGGTTGTCCGGTCCCTGTTGTAGTTTCGTGACTAGAGACACATTTATGCTATTTATATATTGAGGTATTTCAGTTAGCTGTCTTTTGCAATTTACATACAGGCGATGTTTTATGAAATGAATTAAGTAATTCAACTTGGCTAATGATAATAACGTCATAATTGAAAAGAAAAAGATATTCCGCATTTTTAAATTAAGTGTGGCTTAATACAATGATATGACAACAAACCGGATATATACGGGGTGTTACATGGAGTCTGTGCAGGTATGAGACTGTACAGATCATAAATATAAAAATAAGTTACGTGTGGCAAGTTACATAAAGTAAACATAAAGGAAAAAGTTAAGTCACAAACTCACAGAGAACTATCATGATACTTTATTTTGAGTCTTCCATTACTTTTAATTAAGTACGCAACACAGTTATTACCATATTACATGTGAACAAACCGGCTCGAGACGGGGCGTTACATGCAAGTACAAGGTGGTCATGGAGTGATAAGGTTGAATGTGTGACGACACATTAGCTTTGGCAAGGCGTGAGTGAGAGTTGCTGAGAAGAAAGTGCGTAAATAAACGGAAGAGAAGAAGAAAGCCGCTTAAGTTAGATTGACATGTAAACTAATACATGTGTCATAATTTGAGTTGTAATAGTACTCAAGACCAGTGTTTTAAAACCCGGCTCGGACCGACCGGATCGACCCGGGACTCGGTGACCCGGTGGGTTACTCGGTCCGAGCGGGTAGTTGGACCGGTTATGCAGTCAGCCCGGATTGGACCGGTTGACCCGGCCGAAACCCGGCGACCCGGTTGACTAGGGTTAAACCGATTTTTCCTTCTTTCTTTTTTTTGGTAAATTTTTTTTTTTGTTGATAAGAACTCTTGAATTAAATCATATTCATATTTTATGATGAATATGATTAAAAGTAACTTTTAATCATATTCATCATAAAATATGAATATGATTTAATTCAAGAGTTCTTATCAACAACAAAAAAATTTACAAAAAAAAAGGAATAATCGGTCTAACCCGGATCAACCGGATCGCCAGGTTTCGGCTAGGTCAACTGGTTCAATTCGGCAGAAGCAGTCAAACTACCTGCTCGGACCGGAGAACCCACCGAGTCACTGAGTCCCGGGTCGACCCGGCCAGTCTGAGCCGTGTTTTAAAACACTGCTAAAAAGAGAGGTGAGGAGTTTTTTTAGCAATTTCCATCTTTATGTCCGGTTTGTTATGAATTACATGCAAAACAATTTGAGGTCAATGATAAAGACTTTCGTGTTCTACATTATGATAGTAATTAATCTCATCTAAATGAGTGAAGACACCCTTAGGGGAAAAAAAATTAGGAGTAAATAATAATATCCATATTTCTCATAAAGTTGGAAAATGAGAAGAAATAAAAAATATTTTTGAATTTTCATGGCTTATGAAGTGGAATAAAATGTTATCCCATAATTTCTAGTCCTCTGTTCCTTATTTTTCATGTCCCGTATCTTTCTCTTAAATTAAACACAGAACAAAGATTTTTGTCCTGTACAGTCTTTCACATTTTAACAAATCAAACATACCAAAAACTTCACTTGGTTAGTCATTAAGAGATTTTGTCATCTAATTAGTTCGGAGGGATATTCTTATAGAGGGATAAAACAATAATACAAAAATAAATGGTATACAAAAAAAATAAAAAATAAAAATAAATATAGTGACGAATTAAATCTTTGAAGGTCATAAAAACTTTCTGAAAAATTATTGTGGTACGATAAAAATATTTTTTAAAATTAATAAAATATTAATTCTTTTTCTATTTATTCTTATCTCTTAATATATTAATTTAATTAAGTACAATTATATTTTATAATAACTGATTCTGAAGACTATAACTCTATAAGGATCCAATCGGATGTGAACCGTTGCCAACTCTTCCCAATGCAGACAGATACTACGTATCTTTTAACTCTTTTGCCAGCTTCATTCCCCCCTCCTTGCATCTTTCTTTGGCACATGTTTAGTCCCATATTTCCATTCACTTTTCAAAACAGCCACTCAATACCACCTCCGTTTCTTTTCTTTTTCCTTATATATATATATATATATATATATATATATATATATATATATATATAAAAACAATCAATGATTATTGTTTTCGTAAATTAAACTCATTAATTAATTATTAATTCATAATAAATGATAACCATTGATTGACGAAAATTAATGGTGTTAATATATGATTGTAAGAAGTTATAAGTATAATCTTCCTTATATATATATATATATATATATATATATATCTATATACACACAAATATATATATGGGCTTATCATTTCTCAAGCTGCTTGAGATAATGTTATCTCCGGCTATTAAAGCATAACCGTACAAAGATGGATAAATGGGGATAAAGGAAGAGAGAGAAAAAGGAAATCATAATCATTCAAAGTTGAATCAATTAATATAAGGAAATAAATAAATAAAACGACGTAGTTTTGGGGTGACCAGAGATAAACTTATCTCAAGCAGCTTGAGAAATGTTTTTCTATATATATATATATAAAATGTTTATGCAGTTAATGCAGATAAATTATCTGCATTTATCTTCAAAACGACGTCGTTTTGGTATTGAAATCTTAAAAAATTATAAATATAAAGACTATTATAACCCTGAAATAAATTAAATTATAAAAACACCATGATTTCCGTCCCAAAACAACGTCGTATTGGGCTTACTGCAGATAACTTATCTAAAGTAACTACAGAAAAAACGAACCGATATATATATATATATATATATATATATATATATATATATATAGGGAAAATATTTTCTCCTTTTAAAAGAGAAAATTTTTCTCATGTTAATGACTCACAGTATAAGTGGGATCCACAAAATAGTAGAGAGAAAAAAATTAAGGTGAGACCCACTTATGCTATAACTCACTAACATGAGAAATTTTTTTTCCTTTAAAATGAGAAAATATTTTCCCATATGTTGTATTTCTTATGCGGCTGGAGATCAGCATCTTTTCCTGTAGATAGAAACAAATTGGGTCCCATCAATTTTTTGAAAAAAAATAAAAAATGAGTTGGGCATGTTTTACGAACTGACAGTGACAGGAGATGAGTATCTTTATGCAGCAGAAGAATTAATTTTGCCTATATATATATATATGGGTCCATATAATATCCAATCAATGGATATAAACTTTTATCCAATCACTTCCTTATAACTATATATTGTAGGAAAAATATAGTCATAATATTAAAGCTATTTTTTTATCTTTCCACGTGAGGCGACAAGTCTATAAAAAATTTATGAAGAGAGAATTTTTTTTTAATATTATAATTATGTAATCTGCAAAATACAAGTTTAGACAAAATTTTATATTAAGTCACGTAACAAATAATAAAACCCCCCCTCTCTCTATATATATATATTTTAATCTCATCACTTTTACTATCTTTGTAATTTTTTTTTCTTTTTTCCCATATATATATATATATATATATATATATATATATATATATATATATATATAGGAAAAATGTATGTTATTTTAAATGACACATCTTACATTCTTTCACTCTTACATATATTTAAAACTTTTTCTTCCAACTCTCTTTTTCATGATTTATCTCTTTCTCTTACTTAAAATGACGCAACTTTATATCCTTTAATATAATACACACTTTTCCTTATATATATTGGGGTTTTAGTTTGTCCTTTAACATGACACGAAAAACTTTCCTACACACACAACATTTTGTGGGGCCCACACTTTTTAAAGCAAAAAAAAAAAAAAACTAAAACACACAAAACGAATTTCTATAACATTACACAATCACTTTTCATACGACATAACTCTTATAAACTTCATTTATATTTTGAAAAAAAACTTCTGTCCTCATGCGGACTGAAGAAAAAATTTCACTTATTTATTTATTTTTAAAACATGGTGGACTCACTATGATTTTATCTCAGCTGGAGAAGATAAAATCTTGTACTGACAGGAGAGATACAAAGCCGATATATGTTTATGCATGTATGTGTGTATGTATCTGCAGTGCATCTGTTACTGTGAAAAGGGGTCTTGACTCTTCGGTTTCTGATTGGTGTAGTCACAAAAATGGTTGGTGACAACAATAACAACAGCAACAAGGAGAAGGAGAGAGACCTTGAGTTTTTGTTTGATGAGAACGATGAAGATGTCAACGAAGGTGAACAACAGGATATTGAAGCTGAGAAGTTCGAGAGTGAGAGTAGCAGTGGTGATGAGGGAAATCATACAACACAGCTTCAGTCTTTCAACTCTCAGCAATGGCCTCAAAGTTACAAGTACAATCTTCATCACCATTTGTTTATCCTTTTGCAATATAAATTTAAAAACTTTAACACTGTTTCTGTTACTTACGTTCCTCCTATCCCTTTGGTATTTGGCAGTTTTTTCTTCTTTTGTTGGTTTTGTTGTGCCTTTTAATTTTAAATTGCCCCTGCCATTTTAAAGCAAATTCACAGCATAATTCTTTGTCAATATTGGGGTGTTCTTATCTATCCACTCGAAGTTATTACAGAAGATTTGTTTTGGTTGATTGAATATAAAAAAGAACAAAACCTGGTGCATAAGCCTCCTCGACATGTGAGGGCAGAGGTGACTGTCGATTGTACGCGGCTTTACCCTTGTATTTTTGCAAAAAAGCTATTTCCAGGGCTCTACATGCCAAATCCTTGCATTAAATTTTTAAATCGTTAGTGCTTGTATAGCATTTTCCCCCTATTGGCTAAAAAAGAGTGAGGGATATTTAAATGACGTACTGTGCAGGTGAATCATTTTGTGAAGGTGACAGAGATTCTCTTGAATTGCTTAATAAGCTTTGCTAGAATTGTTTTATCTGGCTTTTAGCTGTGCTTCCTTTTTTCCCTGTAACCTGAATGAGCTCTGATATTCACTAATTTTCTCTTATTGTCTCCCTTCTTTCTTGTAACAGAGAGACTACAGATTCTTACACAATTGCTGCATCTCCATCAATTCTACGAGGACCAAGTTTTCTTTATTCTAGTTTTGGCAATCATTCAAAGAATAACTTAGACATAGATGGAAAGACTCCTTTTCTATCTGGTCAGGAAGGCATCAGTCAATCATCATGGTCGAAGAAAGCTTCAGTGCAAAGGCATTGTACTGGTGAATTGCCCATTGGTTACGGATGCAGCTTCACTCAAACAGTTTTCAATGGTATGTCTCTTCATCGCAATCTGTTGATATATCCTTGAACATTTTATTTTGCATGCCTCTATAGATATTGTAAAGTCAGTTGCTAGCAAAAGAATTCTACAATAAGGCACTATATATATATATATATATATATATATATATATGGAGAAGTATCTTTTTACTCCGGTATAAGAATAAAAAGTCTTACTCCTCATCTCAATTATTAATCTCCGTGCTTGTGACAGTTATTGAATTATACCCATTAATTAACTACTAATTTCTAATAAATTACAGCCGTCAAATACACGGATATATATATATATATATATATATATATATATATATATATATATATATATATGGGGTTTACATTTCTGCAGCTGCTGTACGTGCAACAATCAAATACTTACCGTATGTATATTTGAAAGCATTAAATGCAGAGAATCATAACCATACAAAGGATAAAGCATTAAATGTAGGGAATCATAACTATACACCTGTCATTGCTGTACGTAAAGCGGCTGCAGAAATTATTTTATATATATATATATATGTGTGTGTATTAGGGGATAGGGGTGGGGAGGGGTGTAAGAGAGTTTAAGAAGAGGGGAGGCTGCTGCATTCCAAGGTCAAAGCGTGTATTAGGCACAGTGAGGGTTTACAGTATAAACGACTTAACAATGAAGGCGAGGTGCAATTTATACTGCTTTAGTAAGTCACTTGTGGGTTAAAGCAAAGATTACTATTAGATGTACTTCTTTATGTATTCTTTATGCAGTATAATACAAGGGATTGAGTTTGTGTTTGGATTTAGCTTATTTTGTGTTCAAAATAGCTTAAAATCAAAAGCTTATTGAGAGAGCTTTTGAATAAAAAGCTATTGTTCTTTACAAAATCATCCAAGCCAAACATGCTATGGAAGGTTTGTTCTTAATGAAACTATTGTATTTTCCTTGTTATGTTGATAACAAAATAGCTGCTTAAATATGGACTTAGGGTAGAGGTTGTACAGTAAAGGCTGAACACTAACCTAGACCTAAAACATAGGAGTTAATACATATACACCTAGTTGTACATAAAAAACAGATCATGTTGAAGAAAATCAGGAACTTTTTTGTTCATAAAATCAGGCTGTTTGTTCCTTAAAATCACTGAAAATCTGGTTGTCTGTTCCTTAAGAGGTTGGAAATCAATAATTAATCACTAACACTCTACCTCAATCTTGGTGGTAGATGTCTATCATGCCCATATTGGATCTCAAGTTCTCATAAGTAAGCTTTGGAGGAGTTTTAGTCAAGACGTTATCTGTTTGGAGGCATGCAGTTATGTGCTTAAGGTCAATCGACTTTGGCAATTTTTTCTTTTATGTGACGGTGAATCTCCAAATGCTTAGTTTTGTCATGATGAACTGGGTTCTTGGCAATGCTTATGGAGGCTATGTTATCACATAGGACTTTCATAGTGTACTAGGACTAGATTCTAAGAATCTTATGCTTCCTTCGTAACCAAATTCCTTTGCAAATACTATGGGCCATGGCCCTAAGATTGCTTCTTTTTTCTCCATGTGACCAGATTTCCCCACACAAAAGTAAAATAGCCAGTTATGGATCTTAGGTCGGTCACAAATTTTACCCAATCCACATCAGTGAAGATTTCAATGCCTCCATTCAGATTCATTTTGAAATAAAGGCCTCTTCATTGGTCCTTTTTGGCTATTGTAGGATTCAGTCAGTGGACTGTCTTCATGTGGTTTTCAGTGGGGTTTATCGTATAATAATGGCTTGTTATAAAAAACTAATTCAATCCAAAAGATAAAGCTAATAGGTAGAGGCCACATTGATGGTTTTTTATTTCTCTCACACATCTCCTCACATTTAATGTCTAGGTGCATATGTCAGTTTAGATTTGTGGCTATGGATAGGATAACCCCGAAGGAGCTAAGTTTTGCTAGTGGAGCAAATGTTTCCTCATAATTAACATCATAGGATTGAATGAATTTCTTTGCTACTAACCGAGCTGTGTACCTGTTCATGCTCCCATCAATATTGAATTGGATTGAGAAAATACATAATATAATAGAAAAAACAAGAAAGCGAGAAAAATGAAGAAAGAGAGAAGGTGAGATTTTATGAGAATTATTTATAGAGGCTACAAAGCTTCTCAAAGAAGCTTAGGTCTAACTTCCTAAATGAAGTCTAATTGAAACATAATAGAAGTCAAACAACCAGTAACTAACATGCTGACCATGCAACTAGCTAAATACTATGTGTACATAACTAAAGCATAGTTACTTGAAGTGCAGTGGATATAATGACTCATCTCTAATAATACACTTGCAAATGGTTGATGTCTTTCCTTCTGGTAGTACTAACAGTTTCCAAGTGCCATTCTTTTCTAGTGCATGAATTTCCTCCCTTGCTGCAGCCGTCCATTTTGGTTGTTGAAGGGCCTCTTGTATATCCCTTGTTATTGAATGATGTCAAGAAAAGTGACTAAGGCTTTGTATCCTTGTGACAAATTCTTACACGAAACATAATTTCTAATGGGATGTTGAGTACAAGACCTGACTCCTTTCCTTACTGCAACAGGCATACCAAGATCAAGAAATTTTGTGCTAGGAATATCAAGTTTTTGGTAGGAGCTGTGTTGCCTGGATGAATTTTCAATAACTTTGGAGCCTATTATAGGTTTGTCTGCTTATGCATTAGGAAGATGATTTGGTTCAACCACATGAGTTTCTGGTTTAGTTGTGGTTGCTGGATAAAAGGGCTGGTTAGTTGTGTTCGTGGTGGTTTAATTTTTTTTTTTTTTAAATAGTGAACGAAATTTTTTCTTTAAGTGCATAGAGTTGGGGTGGCCTAATCTATAGTGCCACAACATTATGTAATTTTCGTTAAGGGAGGAAGCTGCACAAGTTTGAGCTCCTAGTTTCCTCTTGGAGTCATCAACGTAAATGATGTAGAGTCCGGTACACTACTCAACATTGCCAATCCTCTTCCTCAAGTCCAAAACCTGAAATTCACACAAGTAAAGTAGGAATTTAGTTACACAACTAAGGTCCTTTGTCAATTTGGTTATAGACAGAAAATTGCATTCAAGATTAGGAACATTAAGGGCATAGTTCAACTTCAAGGAAATATCCTTTGAGATAACAATTAAACCTTTACAACCAACTTAAATTCGTTGTCAATTGAACTTTTGGATTGTAGATTCATCGTGACAAGGAAAATAGTTTTCAAAAACTATAATATCCCCAGTCATGTGATCAGAGGATCCTAGTCAATGATCCAAGATGTTTTATGTAACACCCCGTCCGCCGCTGGTGTATTATCATGCATATGGTATTAAGCGCAACATATTTAACTAAATAAATGCTGAAGCTAGACTTATTGAATCATAAATAGTCTTACGTCAAAATGTGAATACAATTTTTCCTTTCTTAATGTATTGCAATTCACAATTAATTCGTGTCTAATTAAAATTATGTGATGCTTTCTTAGACCTCGCGTCTTTTAGAATAAAACGGACGACATCTCCTTTGTATTTGGAGGTTTTGAGGATTATTCCCACTTTAGCAAAAGTACCTAATTGACAGTTGTCCAATTTTCATACATGTATCCAACCATCAACTAATCCAACCTAGAATCCATCTATGGATTACACATAATTGCCTTTGTTCCTTCACTTTCTAATCATTAAATAATCATACATCAACTTCCAAAAGTAACATGAGAAAATAAATACCGAATAACCTCGTACATTCATCCTTGACATACATTATGAATAAATTAAGGTTTACATACAGTCCATATACACGTATCTCAAAATAACATACGATAGTAAAAAGACCCTATACATGTTCCTCTAAACAGAGTATACAAGTCTGTACAAAATATGCATAGGTATACACTATGCTCTTCAAAATACATAATCATCATGTGTGAACATGTACAGAAAAATGATCATCACCGTCTCATGCTATGAACTAAATCGCAATGACGGCCTCTTGCCTCGTGATGCTCCAGTACCATCAGTGTCTGTACGTAAAATATGGTCCTCACACGCGATGAGATTGTTAACAATCTCAGTAAACTAGGGATCCTTGGAGGATTCCTCCACCCTTAAGTTCACTTTAGGTGTAAAAGCAGTAAAACAAAGATAATACATTATATATATATATATATATGCAGTGTATATCAATCTTAAGCAAGCCATTCCTCGGGTCCATCAACTCTCACCGGAATGCTCATACCAATCAATCAATCAATTTTACTGGCCAGAGAACACAAAAAGTATGATTTACACAAGGAAGTTCATCTTGTAACATACAAAGCATAAGGAAGTTCATCTTATGTAGCACACCACTAGGCATGCCTCATACAAGGAAGTCCATCTTGTGTGGTACACAAAGCAAATACACACACCCATGGCATGCCTCACACAAAGCAAATACACATACTATGCATTATGTCACATTTTAATGCAATTACATACACCACACATAAATCACTACTCCCATAAAGCATGGTGAAACAAACAGGGGATAAATCTTAAGGTCCAAAAGCTTACCTCTTGAAGCTAGGTGTATAGCACTTTCCTTGTCTAAGTTCTCTTCTAGCCCAAGCAATCAATCAACAACCTTTCAACAAATATTACCTATGTAAAGGGTACAATTCCATTATCAATACATATACAATCACATTGTGATAATGTCACCCATGCAACCTATTCAAGGTGTACATCAATTAATTCAACATACAAATACCAACATATACATATGTCAACACATCCAATTTCCAACAAGGTTTAGGTTGAAGACTTACCAAATTCTAGGAAATTCAAGAACCTGAGCTTGGTCACTTGGTAGCTCTAACGGAAGTTCTTCCATCATCACTTAACTTGGCTCACCGCTACCAATTCAAACAAGTATAAACATCAACAATAACATTCATTTCCAAGACTACACATACAAAACACTTATACTTGACTTTTAGTCTAATTATCGAAAATGGTATATGTTATGGTTTCAATGCTTTTTCTTGGCTAAGACAATATTCCTAACACATTTTTTGTGAAGACGCCAATGTTGTTAAAACGTAGAGTCTATGTAAAAACGGTAGGGGTGAGTAAAAACGTAAAATCGCAAAACGTAAAGGAAACGTAAGAGTTTACTAACGTATTAAAAATAAAATATATATCCAACATATATAAAACCAAAACACACAAACATGTTTATTTTATAAAAATGTCAATTTTAATCTCTATTTTAATTTATATAGAATGATTCTAATGTATTAATTATGTAAGTTATTAAATTTAAGCTGATTAATGACTAAGAATATATATAATTTTTTTTATTATTACGTGTTTTATATATGTATATATATGTGTGTGTATATTATATTTATGAACTATGCAAAAAAATATCATTATATATATTTTTATATTATTCATGGATTTATTAATTGCTTAAAGCATTGATTATAATCTATGAAGCACCGACACTTCAGAAATCCTGACGTGTCGTGTCCGACACTTCCCGGCACTCTTCGATACTACGACACTCCAACACGCGATGTAGAGACTAAAAAAAAAAGGTTCAAAGGATACATTGTGTTGCGTTTTTAGTTCCAACTATTAGATTCGTTGGATTAGGATTACCATTTTATTGAGTTTAATATAAATATTTGAGAGATCTTATGTTTCTTTGCAGAATTGATGACTATCATAAGTTTAGCTTCATTTTCTTGTTAAATTATTGAATATTACATATAATATACACTACGAAAATGAATAATATTATTTAATATCAAAACGTGTCCTAACGTGTCGAAATCTAATATTTTTTAGAATTAACGTGTGAGTGTCGTGTCGTGTCCTGTATCAGTAGCGGTGCTACATAGATTATAATAATATACAAGCATTAGAGTGTGGCCGTGAGTCTCTGTCACTTCACTCACAATCTTCTTCTTTGTTCCCTTTTACTAACATTGACGTTACTTTCTTTCTCTCTCTCTCTTCCTTGCCCTTCTTAACGGTGGATATAGTTTAAATGCTTTGCATCAAGAGCTGTCTAGTGCCAAAACTAAAGCGAGAGTAGAAGAGAAAAGAAAGCAAAGAAACAAGTAAGAAGAAATGTCATGGGTTTTTCTTTCTGCAACTGCAACTTGAACTGCTCTTCTTCTTTTGCGTTTTGGTTTGGGTTGGAGTAACAACCAACAATGGTGAAGGGTTGGCGATGAAACTCTTCTTCTCTTCTTCATCGTCTTTGCTTCTCTCTCTCCTCTCTTTGTCGGATCTGACTCTTTCTTTCTTTTTTTTTAGAAACTGAGTCAACTTGATAAACTCACCGAGTCAACCGAGTTTACCGAGTTGACACGGTGTTTCAACCGTTTCTACCCAAAACCCGTTTCAACTACCGTTTCGACACGATTTTGGTCATAAAAAGGAAAAAACGGTCCGTCTCTACGTTTCGACACTATGTTTTTACAACACTGGAAGACGCTAAGGTTCATTTACATTCCAACATCATTAATCATGTTAACCCTCTTTGGTTACAAACTTTATCCGTGGCCATAATTTCGAAATGCCTAAGGTGACTTTTTCATGGTTTTTCCTTCAATAATCCACATCATTTAAGACTATATCATCAATTATACAACAAGGTTCCATTAACATTTCACACCATTATATGAATCACAAGATACCATACTCTTTCATTAACCAAAAATCCAAGTGTGATCAATTGATGATTTCTTTCCATTTTCACCATTAGGAACACTTTATTAGCATCTTTTACAAAGGCACTCATATTCAATATCATGACTACACATTAAATCAAGCTAACCCTCTTCAAACACTCACATTTTCATGACTCAAATTTCGAAATCATCACAAACACCTCCTAATCACTTTTTTCCAAAGGACTCAAGCTAAAATCAAACCACAACTCAAGTTGGTTACTATTTATCACATGAACAATCATAAAAATCCATCCATAAAAGCTTATGGTTCTTACCTCAAAATCAACTAGGAAGACCAATGAAAGACTTCACCAAGCTTGAAGGCACCCAAGTCTCTTCCTTTCTCCTCAAACTCGAAAATGGTGTCACCTCTTGAGAGAAAATGATCTCCTCACACAATGGTTTATGTAGAAAACTAATGGTAGATTCTTGTTTGTTAGGAGATTTCAAGTGACTTTGATGACAAACACTAAAGGTTTTGATGGCTAGATGAGATAGTTTGTTTGGAAGGTCACTTCCATGGAGGTTGATGAAGCATTTCGGGAGGGGGGGCTGTTTTGAAGAGGATGACCGAAAATCCTAAGGAAAAGTGAGGGAAAATCAACTTAAGTGAATTTTGACCACAGTCAACCACTTTAATATGAAAAGACTAATCTACCCTTAATGAAATCCCCACTAATTCACCTCTAATCCATAGATTAAGTCATCTAACATTTATTTTGTCATTCACCAAAATCATTCAATATTATCACACTATATAGTATTGAATCACTGAAAGGTCATGGATTGGAATCCAGGAAACAACCTCTTTGCAATTATGCAAGGGTAAGGCTGCGTACAAGGATTTCCTCCACCCCACACTAGCTAGTTGGGTTTAGCGGGGAGTGGTTTTTTTTTTTTTTTTTAGTGTCACACTATAGTATTCTAGAGTTTCTGGTAACTTTCACATAGTTATATTTTTATCCAGAACTTTCATTCATCGTACTTTTGTCCCAAAAAGTAATTTATTCCTATGATTAGACTTCTCATCTAATTAATCTCATTCTAATTTGATTCCCTAATTTTATGGGTTAAGGTGGAGTGTATTTCACAAAATTAGCCCATTATCGGATAGTTTTACCAAATTACCATTTTACCCCTGGTGGGGATTTAACCCTAAACTAAGTATTTTTGCTTAATTAACCCTCTAATTAAACATTAACTTCCAATTAATGTAATTTGATTATTTGGGTTATTATATTTTCCTGTCCTTATCAACATTCAAAGCATGAAGCATTTATACCTTTTTGTGTTACAGACGTTGTACCAATACTTGTGCAAGTATTTTGCTTCATCAATTGAAGTAGTTTAAACAGTAGTTCCATTTCCATCGGTTCCTTGTTGTAGGTTTGTGCTTTAGGATTAACACTTATCTTGTCTCTCTCAAGTATATTTGAAGAGGCTGTATTGCCACATTGCTTCCTTCCATGAGATGATTTTGTGTATGTTGGTTTCTCATGAATGAACCAACATGTATCCTTTGTGTGTCCTTTCTTCCTGCCATGTTCATACCTCATGCAATTTATCTTCTGTTGGAAGTGTGATTGATTGGATTGATTTCCTTTAGCTGCCATGGCTGAGCTTTCTGAGTAAGTTGATGAGCTTCGTAACATGATTTTCCTCCCACTTTCTTGCCATCTTACTTTACATAATACTTCTCTAACCTTTGGTGATGGCTTGGTCCCAAGAATTCTTTGAAGGACTGCATCAAGGTTCTTATTGAGTCTAAGTAGGAACTTGTAGATCGTGTCTTTGTCCACTAGGTTTTTGTATTGCTTGTTATGTATAGGGTACTTACATTTGATCTCTTCATAAATGTCAAGTTGCTGCTCTCAAGTCTCAATTTGTGGTGTTTGGGAACATCTTTCTCGGTTGTTTGGCTTCACCAGTGATGTTCTCTTCTTTTCTCTTTCCTTGGAGAAATATCCAAACAAACTTAGCCTATTGCATGAAGTTTTGGCCGTTCAGTCCGTTGCTAGAGATAGGGAGAACAAGGCCTTCGATTTGGTTGTGCTACCAATCTCCAATCTGGATACCAACTCTGAGTTGCTGCTCTTCTGGTTGTTTGCCTCAGATTATGGAGGTTGTAGTCAACTGTGGTTCAGATTGAGTGCTGATACCATGAAGAATATATTGTATTTTCCTTGTTATGATGATTACAAAATGGACACTTGAATAGGGATTCAGGGTAGAGATTTTACAGTAAAAGCTTAACACTAATCTAGTCCTAAAACACAGGAGCGTTAATACCTACACCTAGCTATACATAACAAATATAATCTGTTGAAGGAACTTATTTGTTCCTAAAATCAGGCTGTCTGCTCCTTAAAAGCAAGTTGAAAATCAGGAACTGATCACTAACAATTCTTTTGTTGAAAAAATTTGTTAACATCTTTACAAAGTTATTTTCTATCTGATTGACCTCATCCCCTTATGAAAGTATAAATATCTAACCTTACTTCCTTAATATCTTAATTTCTATTTCTATCTTCCCTTTTTATGAGTTGATACTGTACCTTGACAGGGATGAATGTGATGGCTGGAGTTGGCCTTCTGTCTACACCTTTTACAGTGAAAGAAGCTGGGTGGATGAGCATGGCGGTAATGCTTCTTTTTGCAGTTATTTGTTGTTATACAGCCAACCTTATGAGACACTGCTTTGAAACTAGAGAAGGAATCACGAGCTACCCCGATATCGGAGAAGCTGCATTTGGAAGATTTGGCCGAATTGTTGTATCAGTGAGTCTATTTATTTCTTTGTTTAAAGTATTTGAAAATTGTTGATCAATGCTTGTTACTTGGAAAATAGAAGTGCTAATTGGGCTTTACTTCTATCTGCTAGGTAGTTGTCTACCTTAAATTCCTCCCATCTAGATCTTTGATTTGACTATGAGTCGACCTCAAAGTCTATTTGACTCCAGTTGATCATTTTGATTCTGTTCTTTACCTTAGTCTTAGCTGGTTTTGGTCCATTTTAATATTTGAACATCTTAATTAATGTCTCAAGGCCTCACAAAATGTACCATGAGATTATTTTATCTCTATTTGTTGTTTAATCTAAATTCACTTCATAGTAGTGAGAAAGAATGCTGAGATATATGCTTTTCAGTTTTCACTTATGCACAAATTAGTGGTTATTACTAATCAGTGTTCACTAATGATATTTGTTGCAGATCATTTTGTACACTGAATTATATGTAAGTGATTCAACCATTTTGTTTCCTTTGAAAACACCTGTGTTTGGTTGTGCTCTCACTGTATGTATAAGATCACTTTTTCATGAGTGCAGGCATGTTGTGTGGAATTCATCACCTTGGAAGGAGATAACCTCACTAGTCTGTTTCCTGGAGCATTCTTAGATTTGGGTAGTTTCCGGTTAGATTCTGTGCACTTGTTTGGAATTTTGAGTGCACTTATTATTCTTCCTACAGTCTGGTTGAAGGATCTTCGCGTAATCTCTTATCTATCAGGTTCTCCAATGTCTAAAAAAAAAATTCCTTCTGTTTTCAATTTCTACAACTTAGCATGCCCTTATTGGAACTTGTGATCTGCAGCTGGAGGGGTTGTTGCAACTTTCTTGATTGTTATCTGTGTGTTTTGTGTTGGGACAACAGATAGTGTTGGATTCCATCACACAGGACAATTGGTAAATTGGAGTGGCATTCCATTTGCTATTGGTATCTATGGGTTTTGCTATGCAGGACATTCAGTTTTTCCAAATATATATGAGTCTATGGCTGACAAAAAACAATTCACCAAAGCACTAATAACATGGTCTGGTACCTAACTTCTTTGTCACTGGCAAAACATATCTGATTTCTTCTTTCTGATTGCGTGGTTCATTGCTTTGCATACAGTGTTGTTTTGTGTATTTTGATATATGGAGGCGTTGCAATCATGGGATTTCTCATGTTTGGTGATGACACTTTGTCTCAGATAACATTAAATATGCCACCAGGTGCATTTGCTTCAAAAGTTGCAGTGTGGACAACAGTGAGTTTGAGATTTTTTGGGTCTCTTAGGTGCAATTTTAGTAGTTTCATTCTAGTAAACAATATTTTTTTTTTCTCTAATGTTGTGTTGCTCTTTCTTCTTTCAGGTAATCAACCCATTCACTAAATATCCTTTTTGCCACAACTTAGTTGTTTATGAAAGTAAAAAAAGTGGAGATTGCTTGATCAAGTTCAGGAATAATTTTATTTTGATTTTTCCTTAATAATAAACAAATTTGCTTTGTTGATGAACCCACTGGCAAGGAGTCTAGAGGAGTTGCTGCCAAATAGAATTTCAAATACTTATTGGTGTTTCATTCTTCTTAGAACAGCACTTGTTGCATCTACAGTTTGTGCTGCTTTTCTGATTCCCTTTTTTGGTATGTCTTAGACTTTGTCTCTGTAATACATTAATTTTAATGTGACCTCTCAATTAGTCAAGTACACTCAAGAAAATGATATAGCTTTCTGTCCATATTTTTATATTCATATTTTCTTTTTCATTTATTTGTGTATTATGATATTTTACATTCATATTCATAAATGTTGTACTCTTCAGTTGCCCTATTTGTTTTTGTCTGATGTTGTTCTTCAATCAAAACGAAAAACCAAACTGATGAAGAATCGACAGTAGAGGGAACATTGTCTCCTGATTTTGTTAACCATTGTATGTTCTTATATAAGTATAATCACTTAAGTCCTAGAGCTAGGTGTTTTTTTCCATTACTACGCTGAAAATATATGATTAGTTAAATGTAAACGAGTCATATTACTGTTTGAACTTTAATCTGACTTGTCTACTTACGCAGAAAGCCACATCAGCGTATGATTGTTATAGAACTGTCACTTTTATTATTTCACAGCTGCTCTTGTACTTTTTGAGAATATATAGTGATGTTATGCAGAAATGTGTAAATTTGTGTGAGCTGTACTTCTTTGTAGTTGATACCTAGCTTAGCTACAAGATCTTATTATTCTTGCCTAATTTGAATGCTAATTATTTAGTATTATTTAATATATTTTCAATAAAAACCACATCAAAACATTGTTTTTATAACAAGAAAAACATTTCTCCGGCAACTTGAGATAAGTTTAACTCCGTCCACCCCAAAACTATGTCGTTTCGTTTATTTATTTTCTTCTATTAATTGATTCACCTTTGAATGATTATGATTCCCTTTTTTCTCTATCTCTTCCTTTATTACCATTGATCCATCTTTGTACGGTTATGATTTAGTAGCCGGAGATAAAATTATTTCAAGCAGCTTGAGAAACGATAAACCTTTTTGTAACAAATATGAACTTAATGGCTCTAATATCCTTGAGTTATAATTTCAGGGCTTGTGATGGCATTAATTGGTTCGCTCTTCAGTATACTTGTGGTAAGCAAACTTTTTAGTGTGTGTGTATATTTGTCAAAGTCTATGATGTTTGAACTTTGAATTGCAAAAACTTCATTTTCATGTAAGAAATTAGGAAGTCAGGGTTCAGTTAATATTGATAGGAGGGACCTAATCCTTGATCGTAATTTAGGACCATGCCATGGCTCAGACCCAAAGCCAAAATACCTACTCTGTTTTCCTGGATATCGAGTTGCTTTGGTTGGGGAACGGAAAATCTTTTTGTGATGACATATTCAGATTGTACTTAGTTTATGATCTTCAATTTAATATTATTTATCGTTTTTTCAATCTTTGTTTATATAAATCAACTTTGTAATACTACTTTTAGGACTGTACATCTATGAAGCACCGAACACGGCGTTTTCGATACGTTCCCGATACGTTCTCGATATGACTTAATTTGTCGATATGATACAATACGTTTTCGATACGTTTCCGATACGCGTATTCGATACGTTGAAAAAAAAAATTCGGAATATCGGTGCTTCATAGCTGTACATGGAAAATGGAAGAGGGAGATAAAAGAGTACTTAGGAGGGACGATTTCTCACCTCAAATTGATCAAACCTTTTGTCTTAGACTATATTCAGGCTGATAAGAAATATAGTGTAACATAATTTTTCCCCCTTTGTCCTTATTATTCATCATGTACGAAGAAAACTTTGAGAGTTCTTCAAATCTAGCTACGTATTGACCCACTAGTGTGTTGCTTGCTTAAGTGTGAATTTTGAATTTTCCGCCCCCTCCCATAAAATTTTATAACTCTGCGATTAGACACATAACAGTAAGGTTGTGTTGTGTATAATCAATCGTCACCCTTATCCCTCACAATTTGAGAAGCCTTGTGCACCAGAGTTTGCTATAAAAACACATTTGGAGATATATACAAATGCATGATTGTCTCTTGATTCTTTTGCAGTATATATCTTGCTTTCTATCTGTAATGTTTGTTGGCTGATAACTTGACATGAACTAGATTCATCTATAGTCCTTTGTGCTTTCCCTTATTGTTATTGTTTCAGTTTCTTGTGAGGAATTCCAATGAAACTTCAATCTAATTTGGGGAATGCAAAATTTCAGTCAGTGATAATGCCAAGTTTATGTTTTCTAAAAATTGTGGGGAAAAAAGCTACAAATACGCAGGTAACAGTGCTGCTGATGTTGTATTTAATTTTTAATTATTTTTAATTTATTTTTTCTATGATAGTACCATGAAAGTTTTCTGGTAAAAAAGTTTACATTCACTTGAGCATAGTTTCAGACTTGATGTTAGTACTGAGTAATAATTTATATATTCAACAGCTAAATTACGTACTACAAAAAATGAACAATTAATATTTCTGGTTTGTTGTAACTGTTACATAGCCAAATTCAAATGCATGTATGCTTTTATGTTTTCCTATCAGATTCTTCACATCTATTGCATGAAGAAACCATCCTCAAATATCTGTATTTTTTTTTTGTTTAATTTAATTTCAGAGCCTTGTTTTCTCTTTCTCAGACAACCTTAAACTGCTAACTGCAAATGCTATATTACTGAACTTATAGAATAATAATGTAATATTATATAGGGATTAATGTTTCTTTTGCAGCATGAGATAAAATTATCTCCTCCAATCCCGAAACGACATTGTTTTGAGATTTAAGAAAAACAATGTAGGGGACTTTAGTAAAATACATAATATAAGAGGAAAGTAAAATATCTAAGACACCCTGCATTTTTTTTTTTTCTAAATTTCAAAACGACGTCGTTTTGAAATTCTGTTGCAGGAGAAATACTTTGTTATACCCTAAACCCTTTTTTCTGTTATATATGCCCCAACTAGTTTTCATATTGCTTCTATTTTGCTCAAGTTTTCTCTTTCCCATTTTCAGGTTGCACTGAGCGTCATAATTACTGCATTGGGAATCATTTGTGGACTCCTTGGAACATATTCCTCTGTGTTGAATATTGTGGATAGTTACTAAGACATTTCTTCACTGGATGGTTATGATGAAGTGCTAGCCCAGTGACAAATGTATCAGATCATGACAAGCACTGCATTTGAATAGTTGTGGTGATAAGTAACACCTCCCCAACAGAATACTTCTAGGTTCAAATTTTTCTACTCTCAGCAAATGCTCACTCTCTTTTGTACAAGAGGAGATACTCATTTTAATTGTTTGGTCATTGATCTATTAATGAATGACTAAATTTTTTTGGGAGACTACGTTATGTTAAAGTAAGGCATGAAATGATGCATTCCTTATAGGTTTTAATTGTTAGGTGAAGTTATATTAATAATTTTAGGGGTAAGATATTCTTATTATCAATTTTTTCTATTATTAATCTACTACTACTCTAATCATCATTGGATTAGAGGAAAAGTTAAATGAAGAGAGAAAAAAGAAAAATAACTTTTAAATCTATTGGTGATTAGAGGGATAGTAGAAAAAATTAGTAATAAGAATATCCTACCTCATAATTTTATATCATATTTCTCTAATATGATTTTTCACACAAGAACCGATAGAATCTCTTAATATTGACATACTTCCCCCTTAGCGAAAAACATTCCATACTTTACCCGTACTTAAGTTCAGGTTGTGTTTAGTTTCTGCTTGGATTGATTTGCAGTTGTTTCTTGAAGAGAGTGTTGAACCTAAACTAAGAGTTTAGGGTCTCACGGGATAGGATATTGTGACAACCAAATAATGTTACTACCAATGTTACTGCCACATCTTAACCGTTGATTTCCGCCAATCAACGGTTATCATTTATTGCGAATTAATAATTAATTAATGAGTTTGATTTGAAAAATGATAACCGTTGATTGGCGGAAATCAACGGTTAAGATGTGATAGTAACATTGGTAGTAATATTATTTGATTGTCACAATATTCTATTCCTTGTTTGATAGTGTTTAACTTTATTTTTTGTTCTTAAGATTATTTTGTAGAGTAGTTAAATGAAATAAGTGTTTTCTTTGTGTTTTTTATTTTGAAAGTTAAAAGTCAAAATACAACATAGAAATAAATAAAATATGTTCTCTAAATTTGTTTCTAAAAATTTAAAAACAAATATAATCTTTAGAATTTTTTACAAAATACGCATTATCAAACAAATTTTTTTGTTCCGAAAATTAAGAAACTATTTTTAATAAAAGATTTCAAAAAGGCTCATTTTCTCTAAATTTGATTTTAAAAATTAAAAACTAAATATTATTTTTATATTTTTTTTCAAAACACGCATTATTAAACAAGTATTTTTTTTGTTCTGAAAATTAAAAGTTTATTTTTGAAAATAGAATTCAGACTCGCCCTAAGTTACTACTTCAAAAATGCTACCTTCTCTCCCTCTCTTCGCAGGCTATTTATGTGGCTGGCTATTGATTATTAAATATTATTTTATCATAGCCCACTTAACTAATACTCGCACTTATTACATACGATTTTTATTTTATAAAGTACTAGGTTTACTTTTTATTTATTTATTTTTATAAATTCACTCAAGATGAACTAAATTTATTTATTTGCATTCTTTTCGTGATAATTAAAGGTATGGAAAAAATTCGAAAGAACTGAACTAAATTGAAAAATGCACCAAATTGTCCCATAAGAATTGGTTTTGTAAAACGGTTCTTGAGTCTGAATTGGTTTCAAAAAGTTTAGTTCTGAACTAGTTTGAAATACTTCTGAACCAAACCGAACTATTTATATACAATATTACAATCGGTCACAATTTACTCTAGCATTGAATGCATGTAAAGTTGTTTTTGACCATATATAGCATTCAATCATACAATTTGTTAAATATTAAATCATAAAATGCTTTTGGCCACTTGGGGGGTAAAGTATAAAAACTATTATTAAACATGAATTTGATTCTTTTAAAGCAAAAAGTGAAGAGTTGTAGTCATGAATTGAAAAAATTCAAGTAGATTTTAACAAGTTTGTAAGACATTTTTCATATGAGAAAGTTAGTTCAAAACCCCCTTTAAAATACCAGCTTAGACCAATTTCAAAACCAATTTGTAAGACACACTGTTTGAAAACCAGTCCAATTCTGAACTGGTTTCCAAACAATTTGGTTCAAAAATTAGGCAGGAAAAATCAGTTCAGTTCAGTTTGGTTCACCTAAAAAATTAGTTTGGTTCTTAACCATGCACACTCCTAGTCAATGTTATTAAAATTGGCCTGGTCACTGACCCAGTCGAGGTACTGAGTCACTGGGTTACTGGTTCAACCGCATGACCCAGTAATTATATGTAATTTTATAATTTATATTAAAAAATTATAAACATACTCAAATATCTAAAAAAAATGATAAAAATTTCAAATATTTTAATATAAAAAATAATAAATGACATATTATTATCTAATAAAAGATCAAACAAAAATATAATGATCGTGATACGAGACTTTAGGTTAAGAAAATGACATCTCTAACTATAAATCAAATCAATTTTTTTTGCACAGTGCATATTTGAGATAATATTAGTGTTGTAGGTACATAACTTATGTAAGTCAATAAGCAAAAAAATATTCAAATATGTCCATTATGAATTTTTTGTTGGGACTGGGCCGAGTCACCGGTTAACCGACTGGGTCACCGGTTTTCATGAAAACCGGCCAGGTCGGACCGGGTCGCACCGGTTCTGATGCATAACCGGTCCGTTGCTTCAACCGGACCGGTTATATGACCAATTTACCACTTCCCGGATCGACTCGGCTGGGTCGGTCCGGGTTTCATAACACTGCTGCCAGTGAAAGGGTTCGAACCATCAACTACTTGTCCATGACCTCTGTTATTATTATAACTGCAATACTTATCGTTTGATTCCTTCATTAATGAAGGTTGTAATATCACTGAAACCATATTTTGATGTGTTGGGGTAGCGAACCATCTTAGAAGATGTAAGATGAGATTAGATGCAAATGCCAAGTAATCGCTTGAACTGAACAATGCAATCAGGTTTTTTAATGAAACCTATGATGAAAAATTAATTCTTAAATTTTGTGGTGAAAATCATCACCAATAAATTCATATACATCATATTCGAATCATAAAGGAAAATAAAATTTCCTAATAATCCACTGATCGTATTTCTGAAACTTTAATCATGACTCGCGAGTAGAGGTGAAAGTGGGCTGGGCTGGGCTAAGCTTTGCCCCGAAAAGCCCAAGCCTACGTACTTTTTTTTTTTAATTTGGCCTGGCCCAAGCCTAATATGAGTCTAACTGTTAGTCTGGCTTGTCCCGTTTATAAAATAACAAATGGCGTGACCTAGCCCGTTAGCCTATTAATTTTTAACTTCAAGCAGAACCATGAATCAATTTTACAAAATACTCAAATTATGTTGCTAAACCAAAAATCATAATTTCAATGTCCAAACAGAATCATGAATCACAACAAAACTCATACAATCTGTATTTAAGTCACTTTCAAAAACAAAATGCTCAAACTAAATAACATATATTTCATCAGATCCAACAAACAAATTCATACTATGTAAATTAAAATAACTACATGAATCCAAAAAACACATCATGATCCTTGTAGTAAGTTTAACCTCTCCCAAAAATCTTTTAATATATTCATATACACAATCTAACATGTTGAGATGTTAGTTCCTCCTACATAAGAAATAAAGTCAGATTTCTATTAAAATATAATCGAATATAATTATGTTGTAAATTATTGCAATTGATTAAATTTATAACTTTTATTTTTTCTTCAAGGTATACCTATTCTATTTTATTTTATTTAAAATAAATAGTACAATATAGGCCGGCCTGTAGGCTTATAGGCCAGACCTTGTGAAAGTGGGCCTACGACCTTTTTATTATACAACCTTTTTCAAGACCCAAGCCCGGCCTATTTTACAAAATATACTAGATCAGGTCTGGTCTGACGTAGGCCGAGCCGTAGGCCGGCCCGACCCAGTTTCACCCCTACTCGCGAGTATGGATGAGTAGGAAATATTGGATTTGGAAACATTATCTAGCATGGTGCAACTTTGAAGAATGGTTAAGTTGTTTTGCACGACAAGCCAAATGCTTCAATAATTATCAACCATGTAATCTTATTTTCTCTTTCTATTTATGCTCTTTTGAAGTTGAAATAAAGAGAAAGGCAAGACAACTTCAGCCATGGTTCTTTCTCTTACCCTTTATGGAAGGGTTTTGGCAAGAAAATAGTTTTATGCTATCTCATTGTTTCCATCCAAAAAGAGAGATCATTGTCACTATTTCATTTTATATGTTTTGTTTAGGAGTAACATTTTTCATCTATTTGAGTTTATCTAATAGTATATGTTAATTTGTTGGTGCTTTTGAAAAATGATATATATATTTCCTGCTATCTCATTGTTTCCATACAAAAAGAGAAATGATTGTCAATGTTTTATTTTATAATTTTTTTTAAGAGTAACAATTTCCATCTTTTTGAGTTTACCTAATAGTATATGCTAATTTGTTATAGAAGTGGTGACTTTGGTGTTGTGAAGATCAGAAACAAGTCACAAATAAAATTAATAGAGTTTGAGACATAACGCTGACCATGGAAGTCAGCTGCCGACTCGTGTTAAAGGACGTCAGACATGTTTCGAATATAAGACTAAATCTAAACTCAGCAGGAAAGCTTAATTACGTTGGATCAATGGATTAATTTGGTGGTGGAAGATGGAAGTTAGCTAAGGGTAATCTGGTTGTTGCCTAAGGCAAGAAAGAGGGCTGCTTGTACGTGATGCAATGGAAGATAAATGGTGCAGAAGCCAATGTTGTTCGGGATGGATCTAGCATGGAATTGTGGCATAAGAGACTCGACCATATAAGCGAAATAGGCATCCAAATTCTGATCAAGAAAGGACTGTTGTTCGAGCGGCAAAGACTGTTATCCGAGCTGCATGGATTGTTGTCCGGGTGGAAAGGGCAAATGCTGGAAAGTTATTCGCATTGCCTTCTTAGAGAGCAGCATAGAGTATCCTTTAGGCGACCAAATCAGCACAGGTATATTCTAAACCTCATCCACACCAACATCTGCACAGTGAAGGAAAGATCGCTTGGTAGGTCTGAGTACTTTGTTTCTTTTATTGATGACCAATCTCGCAAAGTGTGGGTGTATTTGTTGAAATCTAAAGACGAGGTTCTCCAAGCCTTTAAGGAATTTTATGTTATGGTAGAAAGGGAGACTGGCAAGAAGTTGAAATTTATCAAAGGA